CAAGAAAGAGCTTAACGCCCCTGATAACCACGATGGGGTGGTCACTGATCTCGAGCCAGACATCCTGGAATGTGAAGTCAAATGGGGCTTAGGAAGTCTGAGCAACAACAGAGCTAGCGGAGGTGACAGTATTCCAGCTGAGCTATTCAAAATCTTAAAAGACGATGCAGTAAAAGTGCTGTACTCAGTATGCCAGCAAACTTGGAAGACTCAACAGTGGCCAAAGAATTGGAAAAGGTCAGTTTACATTCCGATCCCAAAGAAGAGCAATGCCAAAGAATGTTCAAACTACCGCACCACTGCACTAATTTCACATGCTAGCAAAATTATGCCAAAATCCTACAAGCTAGGCTTCAGCAGTATGTGGACCAAAAACTACCAGAAATACAGGCAGGATTTTGAAGAGGCAGAGGAACTAGAGATCAAATTGCCAACATACGCTGGATCACGGAGAAAGGTAGGGAGTTCCAGAAAAACATCTGCTTCTGCTTCATTGCTCAAATCTTTGATTGTGTGGATCACAACAAATTGTGGCAAGTTCTTAAAGAGATGGGAGTACCAGACCATCTTATCTGTCTCTTGAGAAACCTGTATGTGGATCAAGAAGCAACACTGAGAACTGGACACGGAAACACTGATTGGTTCAAAATTGAGAAAGGAGTGCAGCAAGGCTGTATACTGTCGTCCTGCCTATTTAACTTATATGCGGAGCACATCATGAGAAAGGCGAGGCTAGAAGAATCACAAGTTGGAATTAAGATTGCCGGGAGAAATATCAACAACCTCAGATATGCAGATGATACCACTCTAATGGCAGAAAGTGAGGAGGAACTAAAGAGCATCTTGATGTGGGTGAAGGAGGAGAGCGCAAAAGTTGGCTTGAAACTCAACATTAAGAAAACTAAGATCATGGCATCCAGTCCTCTCACTTCCTGGCAAATAGAAGGGGGAAGAAATGGAGGCAGTGACAGATTGGACTGGACCAAGGCTGAGTGCCAAAGATTTGAGACCTTTGAATGGTGGTGCTGGAGAAGACTCCTGCAAGTCCCTTGGACTGCAAGGAGATCAAACCGGTCAGTCCTAGAGGAGAACAACCCTGACTGCTCTTTAGAAGGCCAAATACTGAAGACGAAACTCAAAAACTTTGGCCACCTAATGAGAAGGAAGGACTCACTGGAGATGAGCCTAATGCTGGGAACAATTGATGGCAAAAGAAGAAGGGGATGGCAGAGAATGAGGTGGCTAGATGGAGTCACTGAAGCAGTTGGAATGAGCTTAGGTGGACTCCAGGGGATGGTGGAGGAACAGGAGAGCATGTTGTCCATGGGGTCGTGATGGGTCGGATGCGACTTTGTGACTGACATAACGTAAAAATTTACACATATCCTTTTAGATTTAGACCTAGCAACCACTGTTTTTGTATCTCTGATTCTAAGTTTCAGTAAAGCCCTATTATGTTTGTTCATTTATATAGCACTATCAATGTACATTGTACTTAATAAGAGTAACATAACAGCAAAGGCAGGCCCTTGTCTCAAGAGACTTAAGAGATCCATTCTGACAGGGTTCGGGAGTGCAATGAATGAACAAAAGAAGAAGGGGACAGCAGAGAATGAGGTGGCTAGATGGAGTCACTAAAACAGTCGGCGTGAGCTTAAGTGGACTCCAGGGGATGGTGGAAGACAGGAAGTCCTGGAGGAATGTTGTCCATGGGGTTGCAATGGGCTGGACGCAACTTCGTGACTAACAACAACATACTGACCAACAGCTGAAGCACTTTGGTGCTGCACAATAATTAAAACCATAAAATAAAATTTAAAACAACAAATGTTTAAATCAATAGTACAAAACCAAAATGAAAAATAAACACCAAAATGAAACCTAGCAGTAGTACAAATATTTAAAGTGTAATAACATATTTAAAACAGGAAGAGAATGATTAAAATGCCTGGGAAAATAAGTATTTCACCAGATGCTGAAAAGACCACAATGTAAATGCCAGGTGAACATTTCCAGAGAGCTTATTCCACAACCTGGATGCCACAAAAGAACAGGCTCTCCTCTTAGCAGCCACCAACCTGATTTATTTGGTGAGGTCCCCAGAGAAGGACTTCTGAAAATTAACTTAGGATATGGAGAGGTATAAATGGGAGGAGACAACATTTGGAAAACCTGGTTCCAAGCCAGTAAGGCTCTGAATGGTAACACTAGCACTTCGAATTGGGTTAGCAGTTATTGCAGATGGAAAAGTACTGGTATAATATGATCACACTTAATTGTAGGTTGTTGTTAAATCATGGGTTGTCTTTATGTGTGTGTGTGTGTGTGTGTGTGTGTTCATACAGACATACATGCATGCATGCATGCATGCAGACAGCCTGTGCTATGGTTTAATTATTATATGCTAAGCATAACCAACCCAGGAAGCTAATACATAGGTTTTGATTACTGGGTTCACAGCAAATGGAAACCAAGCATGTCACAAAGAAGACTAGGTTTAAAGCCCTCCTTCCTAACATGCTAGATTTCTATGTAAATGCATATAGTGATGCTCTTTTTAATTTGGGAACCTAATTTGGACAAAATAGTACAGTGCAATTTTCTTCTTCTGCTTCTCTGAATCAGTTTTATTGATACCACCCATTCTGCACATTTTCTTTCAAAGTAAAACTTAATGCAGTCTTTCCCAACAAAAAGACCAGTTCTAGTAGGTTCTCCAACCAGTATCTATTTATCTGACACAACTGACAGTCTCTGAATTTCATCTTACGACAAATACAAATTACAAATGGCCAGTAGACATATAAACAAACATCACACAGCACATAATGGGGATTGTGAATATTGCTACAGAGAAGGACATGGCTGTTTTATTAAACCCTTTTACAGATAGATATGCAATTTCTACCAACTTATCTCCTAGTGCCAAGATACAGTCAATGAATATAAGGATTTAGTGCTGCTAAATGAAGCTTAATACAACTGAGTGTGGTGCACGTTAAATTTGCCATCTAAAACAGGAGCTACTTACACTTTACTACCTCAGTTACTAACAGTATGGTAACTATTTTCTTTTTACAGTCTTACAGTAGTGCAATCATATCAAGACTACAGTAAAACTGATACTGACAAAAATGGCTGCACCAGATAAGGCTAGAATATATTCTTCATAGTGCTGCTGGATCTTTTTTACAATTCCAAAGGATGCAAAACAAACGATAAGAGCAGCAAATGTAAAATAACTAGAAATGTTTTAAGAGTGGCACTCAAGAGAAGAGCTTTGATGGAATCTCTCAAAGAAATACTACAGTCATTAATTTGCTCATGTATGTAAATATAAATAACCAACAAGGCAGATTTTGATTAAAAAACACTTTTGGGTAATGTGAGCCACAGCAAAAGCAACAAAGGCCATATAGTCAACTTTACCTTAATTTTGATGTTTAGTTGCAATACTGGCTTGAGAAAGCTGTTCGAATTATAAGCTTATTACCAGCTTCTACTTTTTGTCTAGTGTGTAGACTGAAGCTAGAAAGTACTAACTTCCACCCTATGCTCCTCTCATTATCAAGGTATGCTCAAGAATGTTAAAGCTCTTAGATGCCTTCTGTATGCAACCTTTTTATTTACTAGTTCTTTTTACTTCTTGCCACTTTAGCATGCCATGCCATGAGGACATTTTTGGGCAATTGGTCACAACCCCCATAGTAGCCATTTTGATAGCACTTCTAAATTCTTAAAGTGTACATGGGTCCTAAAAGGTTGGTGAACCCTACAATTCTTCTTAATCATTTTGATCATTTAGATTTATTTTCAGGAACAATTATTTTCTCTATTTGAAAAAAGTAGAACCTAGTTCAAAATTATGGAAAGTTTAAATATTTTTCAATACTATTCCAGATTAAAGTGAAAAGGTATGATTAAGAAATTACAGAAGAAACTGACATTTTCCAGAAGTCAGAATTTGTTTTTCAAGAACTACAGTAACTGCTTAACACAGAAGAAATAAAATTACTATATGAAATTGAGCCCAAAAGAGTCTGTACTCTGTTATCATTGAAGATAATCACTGCAGTAAGGCATGCTCAAAAATACAACCTGAATACATAACTATTCTAGATTCTACACTGTAGATACAACCATGATTAGTGCCCCATTATCTCTGAAATACAAACCCAGAAGGTCTAAAGTTTCCAATATAATTTATGTTGTTCATTCTCTAAATTCAAATATTAATATTCACTTGGTGGGCTAGAATCTCTTTGACCAGTTACTAATATGGCCTATGCTGTCATAATAATCAAGGCATTTTCAACACTGAACTAAACCAGAGTGACATTTTATATAATGTGTCACTTATAATCTGTTGAAGTTAAATAGATGGTGTTATGCAAGATTAAGATCTCTCACTCGACAAGGCAAAATTACACTTTTAACTATTCCTAACAATTGCTTAAATACTAGAAGATAGGTTAATATTCAACAAATCACACATTCCTTTTCAACTGTGCATTGTAGGCATTCAAAACAATAGAAAAATCACTACCACTCTATATGCTTAATCTAATCCACTCTGGACATAATATCCACATACAACAGGCTCTCCATAGGACATAACATGGCCCAGTTATCAAATCCCCCCTTTGTACAAACACAAAAAAGCATTCAGTACACCATATAAATTGAAGTAATAGAAAATATGTGCATACTTGTTATATCCCTGACTACTCCTCTTTTCATTCAGTTAATTATCAAAAGTTCCATATTCACCATTTTGGCTTAATTACCAGGAACATCAATACAACCTTGCCCTGGTATCATACTACAGCAAGAAGAATGTCTGGCAAGATAGAGTAAGACATTTATTTATACCATGGTAGCTAAAAGTGATATATAGAATTGGCTTGCCCAGCAGTTTTGTGATTAAACAAAACACAAAATAGATATTTATTGCATTTCATTTTGAAAAGTTGCTAACTGAAACAAATAAAATAAATTACCTTTGAAGATTTCAAGTTCTTTCCTGCAAAAGAGAAAAAACTAAACATAATATACTTTCACAAATTTAAACATGCACACAATTTTGCAGGCAAGAGGAAAATAGTGTAAAATACTATAAGGAAAAAAAATTCTTTACATAATTAAGGTTTTGTAAATTAGTATCTTATAAATAATATTAATAAGTCAGCTCATAAGGCTAACAGCTTATCAATTTTTATTATTTTTTATTATTAGAACATTTCAATAAATCTATGTTTTCTCCCTTTCTTCTTCTATAGCATATGATGGACGGAAAGGATTCTACAGTGGTAGTAAACTGCAAAGTGCATGGAATGTTTCTGTTCCTGGTTTAGATTAACATGGTGTACACCTTCAACAAATGCAAACTGGTCACACTATTAGAAGAAAAAGTAAGAGTGCTTGAGTGGTGGTTGTTTACTCTCCAAGGTAAAAGAGAACGAGAAGCATTCTTAAACGTAATGGTAAACTGCAGGAACAAGAAGCTCTAAAGATGGAACAACCGCAGGTTGAAGCAGATATAGAAAATGATAAATTGATGAAAGCCAGTGAAGAAGAAACTCTGTGGAGAAGGATAACAGTAGCAGAAGAATCAGAAGACACACTACACCAATGGAACCGCTAGAGCTAAATAACTATTTTTAGCAACTGGTGGATGACACTGGAGGACAGCCCACAGAGGAAGAATTACAAGGGAACTTGTACAAGATGCAGGTCAGCTAACCAGGAAGAAAAGGTGAGCAGTCATTGTGAAAGACTCCTTGTTGCATGGGATTGAAACCCAAATGTGTTACAATGACCCAGGGACTCACCAGGTATGCTGTTTCCCTGGAACTCAGGGTAGAGATGTGACTGAAAGATTGCCAAAGCTCACAACACTGGTGGATGCATATTCCTTTCTTCTAAACTATATAGGAACGATGACACTGTCAAACGGAACTGCAACGAAATCACATCAGATTTTGAAGATCTGGGAGGGAAACCTTGGGGCCCAGACAATATTCTCACTCATTCTTCCAGTTCTTGGAAGCAGAATAGCAAGGGAAAGAAAATACTCCAGATGAACAACTGGCTATGAAGGGAGACGTTTAGATTCTGTGACTGCAGCCTACACTACTTAGGAGATAGACTGCTACCAAGAGATGAGTTGCATCTACAAGACCTGGAAAGAATATGCTTAGTCACAGCATGACAAAAAAAATATCAAGAGGGTTTTAAACTGAATTGCACTGGGGGAAGGGGAGATCTGAACTTGGAGGCAACAGTGGATGAAGGTTAAGGCCCCATAACAGAGAGAATAGCTCTAGTAGCACCCAAATAATCTTCACAATAATGTGGGAAACAAGCCAAACTATAAAGAACTTGGACTTAAATGTCTAGACTGTGGCAAACAGACAGAATAAACCTGACCTCTTAATACATGAAAGGAAGTATGATTTAATAGGTATTTCTGAAACTTGAGGGGTTACTCTTACAACTGGAATACAGCAACTGAAGAAGAACAGAAGAATTAGGAAAGGAGGTAGAGTTCCACTATATGTTAAAAATACTTATCCCTCCACAGAAATACAGGAAGATGACTCTGGTAGTCCCATTGAGACCATCTCGGTCAAAATAAATGTGTGAAGAAATAAAATGAATGTGACAGTTGGAGTCTGCTACCAAACACCCACTTAAGGAGCCAATGAAGATGAAAGTTTTGGTAAGCAAACTGCCAGTATTTCAAGTTTGATATTGTATTGATGGGAGACTTCAATTATCTTTCTATCTGTTGGGAGGCATATTCTGCCAGAAGTGGCCCATCCAAGAAATCTTTATAGAAAATGGAGGAAGGAACTAGAGGATCACCTGTCTTCAACTTAATACTGAATAATAGGGATTATTTAGTTTATAAAATGGAAGTTATAGGAACTCTGGGAGGAAATGACTACAGCATACTTGAGTTCTTGATTTTAAAAGACATAAAAACTCATAAGTAACCATACATATTCTCCAGATTTTGGAAAAGCTGATTTTAATAAACTCAGGTTCCTAAGGAAAAAAGGAGTTCAAGGGAAGGAAATGTTAAAGGTACAATTACAAGTAATTCCAACAAAAACAAAAGACAGAAAACAGAAGGAATTAGTGCAGCTCTACAAAAGCTTCAGGTTGACCTAAAAACAAAAAAGGATGCATAAAGAAAGTGGAAGGAAGGCCAAACTACAAAAGAGCAACAATAACAAGCTTAGCTGGAGGGTGGTTTAACTTCAGACCAATAGCAGATGACAAAGAAAAGGGTGAAGAGCTCAATTCTGAATTGAATTGGTTCAGAATTCTCCCAAAAGCAGGTCTATAATTTCCCAAATAGACTGAAGGAGCAGGATTGAAGCTTGAGATTCATAAACGAAGGAACACCTAATCTCCTTCAGTAAGTTCAAAACTCTGGGGCCTGAGAAACTGCATCCTATGGTAAAAAAGGAACTCTCAGAATCACTGTCTATTACCCTTGAGAAATCATGCAAGATGGATAAAGAGGTCTAGATGACTGGAAGGGCTAGATGACTGCCAGAAGACTGGAAGAGGGCTAATGTTGTCCATATCTTCAAGAAAGGAAAAGAACAACCTAGGAACTACAGACCAGTTAGTCTGACATAAAACCTTGGAACAGATAATAAAGAAGTCTATCTGTAAGCACCTGGAAAACAATGCAGTAATTACTACAAGCCAGCACGGATGTATCAGGAATAAATCTTGCCAAACTAATCTGATTTCATTTTTAATTTGGTAACCTCCCTTGTGAACTGTGGAATGCTGTGCAGGTGACAGATCTTGACTTCAATAAAGCCTCTGACAAAGTCATCATGATCTAGCTAAAAGTAGGCAAGATGGAACAACTATCAGGTGGATTCACAGTTGCTACAGACTCAGAGAGCGCTTTACAGTGGCACCTTCTCAAACGGGGAAGTGTTAATGTGCAGGGTACTGCAGGGCTCAGTTCTGGGACCAATGCTTTACCACATTTTTATTAATGACATGGACAAGGACAAGATGCAGGGCATGCTAATCAAATTTGCAGATGGTACAAAACTGGGATAGCTAAATACCCTGCAAGACATAAACAAAATCCAAAGTGACTTTGATAGACTGAACATTGTGCTGAGAGCAGAATAAAATTCCATAGGGACAAATGCCATGTTCTGTACCTAGGAAAAGGAACCAAATGTACAGTTACAAGATGAGGGATACTTGGCTGAATAATAATACAAGTGAGAAAAACCTTAGAATTGTTGTAGATCGCAAGCTGAACATGAGTGGACGATGTGATGTGGCTGCAAAAAAGCTAATGCTATATTAGGCTGCATTAATAGAGGAATCATTTCCAAATCACATGGGGTAGCGGTTCCCTTCTATTCGGCACTATTCAGGCCCCAGCTTGAGTACCGTATCCAGTTCGAGGCACTGCACTTCAAGATGGCAGAAAAGCTGGATTCAGTGGAGAATGCTGGAGGTCTGGAAACAAAGTTCTATGAGTAGAGATTGAGAGAACTGGGCGTGTTTAGTTTGAAGGGGAAATGTCTTGGTGTTTTTCAAATACTTGAAAGGCTGCCACACAGAGGAGAGTCAGGGACATTCCAAAAAGCAGGACACAGAATAATGGGCTCAAATTACTGGAATTCCAGCTGGACATCAGGAAAAATTTCCAGTCTGATAGAGCAGTATGGCCATGGAAACAATTACCCAGGCAGGTTGTAGACTCTCCTCCTTTGGAGGCACCCAAGAAGGAGTTGGATAGGAATTATTTAACTTGGAGTTCTGCACTGACTAGGGCAGTGATGGTGAACCTTTTAGAGACAAAGTGTCCAAACTGCAACCCAGAACCCACTTATTTATTACAAAGTGCCAACACTGCAATAAAACTGGACTATTGAGGTTTTAGTTTAGAAAAAAAAAACTCATACATTTAACTTCTTTTGTCTTGAAAGAAAAACACAACAACAGAAAGGAGCATGTTCACGTTCAGCACCCCCAAGTCAGGGGACGCAGGGCTTGCTTGCACTCAGGAGCATGCACACCCTTCTTCCCTCTCTCCTCACCCCCAAACCAGCCACCGAGAATGCCGCAGGAGCTTCGGCAGTGCTTGAAAGTTTACGGGAGGGGTGGAATGTGGGGGGGGGGGAGACCTAAACTAAAGGTGAAGAGAGCCTATCACTGATCCCTTCCATGCTTCTGTTGGGATCTTCCTTGAGGCACCTCCATGGCACGGGAGCCTGGCCTGGGAGTGGGTGCATGGGCAGGTGGGCATGCAGCTGCCTGGCTGCGCCTGCGGCTACCGAGTCAGCAGGGTCCTACCACTGCTCTAGGAGGGGAGCTTGGGCGGTCGCTCACATGCTGTGGGCCGAGAGGAGGAAGAGGCGGCGGCAGGAGGAGGGTGCCACCACCAGCACTTGGCATGCCTGCTTGCTGTACGCCCGCTCCCTTCCTGGCGCACCTTCCTGTTGCGCCTGCCTCTGGCCACCTGTTCGACGCCGCCTCTTGCTGCGAGTTGCCTGACACCGTTACTCTTTCCGAATATATGCATGGCTGCTGGGGCAATTTGGCTCGTGTGCCAACAGAGAGGGCTCTGCATGCCCACTGTGGCACGTGTACCAAAGGTTTGCCATCACTGGACTAGGGGGATACTCAATGGCCTTATAAGTCCCTTCCAACTTTACTATTCTATGATCAATAATTGACATATTTAACTTTTACTCACACCGACTGTAAAAACTGCTATGAACAAACTAATCAGTGTAAATATTTAAACTAACTGACCTGATATATTTAAGCATATTTGTATTCAATTATTTTTATTTTAACTGTGAACCAGAAATTAACTGAGCATTCCTTGCAAATGAAAAGAATTTTTATAAGTCTCACTGTAGATACAGACCAAATGTTAAAAAAGGAGACATTTGAACTCAAGTATACACTACAAAGTATGATTGGTTTTGAATCATTCTGTAGTTGCAGTTACTCTGTCCCTAT